CCCCCCCCCCCATGTTCCTCCCATACAACATGCACTGAGCTCTCACTGTGCACTACGCTCGAGCTCTACAGTGCCGTGTAATTGAATCCTCACAGCACAATGCTATGAGTAGGTGTTATATTACCCTCATTTTATAGGTGAAGAAACTGAGGCACAGAGAGGTTCATTCCTGAACTCACGACTAGAGTCAGGGGGCACATGGAGCTCTGACTGGCCAGATACGAGTCATGTGCCCAACCATGGAGTCAGGATGTGGCTCAGCTGCAACTGAACTGCCTACATGGAGAGAGGGCAGGGACTCTCCAAATAAAAAGCATGTAGGAAGAAGGGGGGCGGGCGAGGAGGGGAGAAACAGAAAATGGCCCCTAAACTAAGTAGTAGATGATGGGAACCCAATTTGGAGCAATTAGGGGAAGAGAGCTGTGCTATCTCAGGGACTACAAAGTAGGTTTGAACAGCCAAACCGCTGGAAGGACAGGAGTGCGCCTGGCCTTCAGGAACAGCTGGAACAGGCGCTCACACTGTCAGAGAGCTTGGATCTCACCTGAGCCTTCCTTCTGCCTCTGTCTGTGTTTCCAGGCACAGATTCCTGGAGAAGGGCTTTGATCCGCCAATTCTAGGTCACAGGATCATATCGAACCGATCAGCTGTGTCCAGAAGGGTGGGACCACAGAGGAAGGTGGCAGCTCCTAGGAGAACCGGGAGGTCGAAGCTGTGGGAGCAGCAGTGGTGGTTTAGAGAAAAAAGTGGAGTAGGGCACAGGGCAAATAAAATCACAGGTGTCCCTTGAGGGCAAGCAGGATGTGTGTGAGTTGGGATACTCATAGCTGCAGGTCACACTGACTCAGGGCTGGTGGTTGCTGGTCCAGTGAGGTCCCCTTTCTATAGCTCTGCTCAGTAACCACAGTGTCAGCTTCATCCTAAGGCAGGTGCCCGCCTGGCTGTGGATGGCTCCGGGTGGCAGCCATCTAACAGATGAGAAGAGAAAGAGAGGCTCGGGCATAGCCATAGGAGAGGAGCTCTTCCTGCCCATCTGAACGGGCCCACTTCGTGGTCACATGCCACCCTGGCTGGGATTCCCGAGCCAGTCTTGTGAGGAGGGTGTGTGGCCACGATGGTCGTACCCTAGTCAGCTGAGGTCTATTCTAAAATGACTCGATCCCCTGACCAAGGGCGTGGGGTGGAGTGCACACGGAGCTTGCCCCTGCGTGCCCCGCGTCTCACAGCTCTGCCTCTGTCACAGGGGTGCTGTGGCTGTCAGTGGTCTCCGAGGTGCTCTATATTCTCCTGCTGGTGGTCGGCTTCAGCCTCATGTGTCTCGAGCTCTTCCACTCCAGCAATGTCATCGACGGGCTCAAGCTCAATGCCTTCGCCGCCGTCTTCACGGTGCTCTCAGGTAAGGCCCAGGCCCCGGCCGGGCAAGGACGCGCCGTAAACAGCCCCATGCTTAGAGTGGGGGCAAAGTGGGCTAAGTCCTGGTTGTTCCATCCGGATGACCTTGGGCCAGTCACTCCTCTTCTCTGAGCCTCAGTGCTGCAATTTGTAAAATGGGATCATTTGCTCACTTACTCATTCAGCACGTGCCAGTGCTGCAATTTGTAAAATGGGATCATTTGCTCACTTACTCATTCAGCACGTGCTTATTGGTGTCTGTCATGTGCCTGGCACGGTGCTAATAAACAGTGGGTGATAGTAACGATCAGATAGTTCCAGCGCTCATGAAGCTCCCAGGTGGCTGAGAGAGGTGAGAGAGGTGGAGTGGCTTGAGATGCATTCAGGAGATGGATGTCCCATGGTTGGCGATGGAGGGGTCTGTGGCACTAGGGAGAGGGAGGTGGTTGTGAGAATGGGCTGGCAGTGGTGGCTTTCACAGGGATATAGAAGGGGAGCCTTTTTGGGGTGGAGAACACTCATCTGCTTTAGTGTTTTTGCTTTTGAGACATCCGCATGGAGATGCCCGGCAGGAAGCTGATTCAGCAAACTCACCCAGAAGCTCAGGGGCCAGTGTGAGGTGGGCAGAGATCCTGGGCAGATGCCACAGAGCCAAGGATTTCAGGGTTTCAGGAAGAACAGGATGGTCAGTGGCATCATATAACCCAGGGAGCTGGGGATGGGGGGATTCCAAGAAAAAGCCGCTGGATTAGGTGGCCAGGGGCCCAGAATAGTTTCAGCAGATCCAGGTCACAAGGGGTTAAGCGGGGTGTAGGGGAGGGAATAAAAGGACCTATAGCTATAACTTCAGGTAGCCTGACAGATAGAGTGGTGGCTTGGCCGTGTGAGACAGCTGCTCCTAAAAAGCCCAGTGTAAATTGAATTTCTATCAATCTAACCCTGGTCTTCGTGCACTGGAAGAATTCTCTGTTTAATGAGGCTGCAATGCTGAGCTTCTGGTAGGGAAATAATCGCCCCTAATTGAGGTGTATGTATAGCAGAGGGAGCCCTCAAAGAAAAGAGAACAGAATTCATGAAATTCTAGCACATTCCGTAGATCAAAAAGTATGTGACCTGTCACTCCAGGGTGCGGGAAATAACCATAATAGTCAAAGGGGAAAAAAGAAACTAAGAGAGAAAAGAAGGAAAACAGTGACCCTCAGAGCACAGTGCCAATTAGGGCCCCTGGTGACCTCACTCCCAGCTGTCTGGGCAGATACCCTGTTTATTGTTTTCTTTTTTCACCTTTTATCCATTTACTCAGCTGACATTCACTCAAGGCCTCCTAGGCCCCAGGCGCTGTGCTAAGTGTGGGGGAGTCAAAGGGAAAACAAACTACTTGGCCCTTGCCCTCCTGGAGTTTGCAGTCTGGTAGAGAGAGAAACTCGCCAACTGACCACAGCACAGTGGGCTGACCTCCATGTACCCAGCATGGTGAGAATGGGTAGGGTGGGGCATTGGAAAGCCACCATTTGAGCTGAGACTTGGAAAAAATGTAACTGTTTGCTTGATGGGCAACTTGGGAAGGGTATTCCAGGTGGAGAGAACAGCATGGCAAAGGCCCAGTGAGGTGGCGTATCTTAGAAACTTCAAGTAGTTCAGAATGGCTGGAGGGCAGAGCGTAGGGAGAGTAGGAATGTTGGGAGATGAGACTGGAGAGCTGGGTGAGGGTCTTGATGCTCTGTAGTGGTCTTGTCAGTGGCTTCATCTTTCCTTTTCTTCCCCTCCACTAAACTTCCAAGAACCCCCTTTGTTATCCCAAGCATCCAGCCCTTCCCCTCAACCAGCTTACTCCAGTCACAACACAAAAGATGGTGGTGGCCCAAAGCAACCATCTCCAGTTTCGCAAGCATGCCTCTGCGGGGGGAGGGGAGAGTCGTAGGGGTTGTGGGGCTCTTCCCTCTACCTGTAAGGGCTTATCAAAGTTTTCACCTGATTACAACTAATGAAATTGAAGCAGTAATAAAAAAAACTTCCAACAAACAAAAGTCCTGAACCGGATGGCTTCACAGGTAAATTTTACCAAATATTCAAAGAAGAACTAACACCAATCCTTCTCAAACTATTCCAGAAAACTCAGGAGAAGGGAAGACTCCCAAGCTCATTTTACAAGGCCAGAATTATCCTAATTTTAAACCAGATAAAGACACTACAAAAAAGAAAATTGTAGGCCAATATCCCTGAAGAACACAGATGCTAAAATCCTCAGCAAAATATTAGCAAATCGGATCCAGCAACACATTAAAAAAATCATACACCATGATCAAGTGGGAATTATTCCAGGGATGTAGAAGACCCGTATTTGGAAAATGATAAGACCCTGAAGAAAGAAATTGAGGAAGATACAAATAAGTGGAAATGTATACCATGCTCATGGATAGGAAGAATTAACATCATTAGAATGTCCATAATATCCAAAGCAATATATAGATTCAAAGCAATTCCTATCAAGATACCAATGGTGTATTTCACAGAACTAGAACAAATATTCCAGAATTTTATAGGGACCACAAAAGACATGAATAGCCTCTGCAATCTTGAGAAAAAAGAACAAAGTTGGAGGAATCACACTACCTGATATCAAACTATACTACAAGGCCACAGTTATCAAAACAGCATGGTACTGGCATAAAAACAGACACATAGATCAATGGCCTAGACTACAAAGTCCAGAAAGAAACCCATGACTATAGGGTCAATTAACGTCTGAAAAAGGTGGTAAAAACATAAATGGGGTAAAGATAGTTTATTCAATAAATAGTGTTGGGAAAATTGAACAGATACGTGCAAAAAATGAAACTAGACCATCTTCTTACATCACACACAAGAATAACCTCAGAATGGATGAAAGAATTAAATGTAACATTTGAAACCATAAAAATCCTAGGAGAAAAAAAACACACCAAAAAATCCTAGAAGAAACATAGGCAGTAAAATCTTGGACATTTCTCATAGCAATAGTTTTCCTGATATATCTTGTTGGGCAAGGGAAACAAAAGAAAAAAAAGATAAACAAATGGGACTGCATCAAACTAAAAAGGTTTTGCACAGCAAAGAAAACAACCAACAAAATTTTTAAAAAATCACCCCACCGAATGGGAGAACTTATATGCCAATGATACATCTGATAAGAGATGATATCCAAAATTTATAAAGAACTTATACAACTCAACACCAAAAAACTCCAAACAATCCAATTAAAAAAATGGGCAAAGGACCGGAATAGACAATTCTCCAAAAAGGAGATGCAGATGGCTAAGAGACATATGAAAAGATGCTCAATGTCACTGATCATCAGAGAGGCGCAAATTAAAACCACAATGAGGTATAATCCTGCACCTGTCAGAATGGCTGCCATCAATAATAAATCAACAAACAACCAGTGCTGGAGAGGGTGTGAAGATAGGGAACCCAGTGCACTGCTGGTGGGAATGCAGACCAGTGCCACTGCTGTGGAAAGCAGTAAGGAGCTACCTCAAAAAATTAAAAATGGAACTGCCTTATGACCCAGTGACTCCACTTCTGGGAATATATCCAAAGAAACCCAAAACACTAATTCGAAAGAATATGTGCACCTCTGTGTTTATTGCAGGGTTGTTTACAATAGCCAAGATTTAGAAGCAGCCCAAGTGCCCATCAGNGGAAGCAGCCCACATGCCCATCAGTAGATGAGTGGATAAAAAAGCTGTGGCACATTTATACAATGGAATACTACTCAGCCATAAAAAAAAGGAAATCTTACCTTTTGCAACAGCATGGATAGACCTCGAGAGTATTATGCTAAATGAAATAAGCCTGTCAGAGAAAGACAAATACCATATGATCTCACTTACATGTGGAATTTAATGAACAAAATAGAAACAGACTCATAGTGACAGAGAACGGACTGACAGCTGTCACAGGGGAGAGGAGTTGAGAGGCTGGGTGAAAAAGGTGAAAGGGTTAAGTAAAGAAAAAAAAAGTACAAAACAGTTTTCACGCCTCCAAAAAAAAACTAAAACACCCAGTTTCCTTCAAGCGGGGGACTCTCACTGCTAAAAAAAAAAAAAAATTAATAAGATTGTCTCTGTAATTTCAGGCAGATGTAAAATTCAGGCCGGGGGAGGTTAATTGACTTGCCCAAGGTCATGCAGCTGGTCAATTATGGAACTGGGATTAAACTCAGCTCCTGCTGACTTCAGAGCCCTATGGTCTTTTCATAGGCTCGAGCTGCAGGAGTGACTGGGCAGGAGGGAGAAGACTTTTAAGTCCTGAGAAAACAGTCCCTGAGGAGTATGTAGCAGCCAGATGATGTAATAAGACCAAAGTAGCAGGCGGTGGGGAGAAAGAATTGTGCATTCGAGCCTGGGAGAAGATAAACCAGGGAGAAACGGGACACCAGCAGAGAGCAACACCTCCAACCCTCGGGGCACAGGAACCGGGAAGCTGGCCTGCTGGGAGCCCCTTGCGAACAGGGGGACCAGCTCACATTGAGGGGTGCTCTGCCCAAGGTCAGTGCCTTTGAGAGTAGAGGAGAAAGCAGAGGTGGGGCAGCCCCTACTCGAACCAATAACGAATTATAAGGAACCATTGATTGTGATTAGTCATAATAGCCAACGCCGACTGATGTGCCTTTGTGCGCCAGCCCTGGGCTAAGCTTGTCACATGTGTTAACATCCTTGGGAGGGCGGGACTAGCATGTCCATTCTGCAGCTGGGAAAACCAACTCTTTCTGTCACATAGCCAGTGACTTGTTGAGCCCCAGAGCCTGCCACGTAGAAGGCTTTCAGCAGGGTTTAGGGTGGGACTTCGGGCTATCACGAGTGGCGTTATTTTTCCTAGCTGTCCTTGAATAAACTGAGGCCAGGTCATGGCCCAGGGACCGGTCCCGTTCCGGTGAGCCTGGGGCCAGGGGTTTGGGGGCATCAGCCCCGGGGGAGCAGTGGCAGGGCCAGGCCAGCAGGGTTGCCTCCCCGACCACAGGCT